CTGGATCCGGCTCCCGTTGGAGCTGATGGGAGTGTTGCCACGGATCGCGGGGAGAGCAGGATCAGGCTCCGAGAGGCTCTGTCTCCTTCCGCGGACAGCGGAGTCCTTTCTCTCCAGGCCCCGCACGTGCGCACCCGCAGAGACCTTCGGCTCCAGCGTGGTTCTGAGTTCCCGCAGGACCAGCGGGGCGCTCCTTGGGGCCAGGGCAACTTCCGGCAAAGTTGGGCGAACTTAAGTCGCTCCTGCTGGAGATCTTGCCTAGCTTAACCTTCTTGCCCCTGGCCTTGCGGTAAAGTTGCGCCGCAGAGGAAGGAACCGACGCCACTGAGAGCGGGAGGGGTGGGGATGGGGAAATCTGGTTTTAATGGGAATTAATTTGAAACCCCAAGTGCGAATCTTTTTAAGTTTACCAGAGAGTTGGCAGCATCTCCGACTTGCTGTTTGACATGCTTTTACCTGGCCAGCAGCGTGTTACTGAAGAGTGCTCCGTGTTCTAGGCGTGGTTCACACGGAACAGCGCTATAAAATACACCATCCACTCGCCTAATCAGCCTGGGTCCTATAGCGGAGTATAAAACCGCATCCTTCTTCCAGCCAAACGGCTTTTCCCTCACCCTTAGCCTTAGCCGGACCCATGGCTCTGGGAGACCATGGGAACGCGCAAGCACAGAGGCAGTAAAGGGAAGAATTCCTGGTAGATTATTACCATGTTAACACCCTGTTTCTGCAGGCTAGGGGACGCGTTAACCCCCTTGACTTCCTCACACTAGCCACCAACAGCAGCTCTGACACAACTGCCCCTTCCTCCAGCCCTACCCGAGCCCCAGGAAAGGTCCTCTTGAAAACTGCAACGCCCACTCAGAAACTGGCTTAGGGACCATTCTGCTGGCCACATTTCTGGGCCCTCTTAGTTGGGTTGGAATGATGAGATCGGTTTTTCTGCACCCTGCCAGCACTAGGAACTGACTGCGTGAACGAGCGAAAATGCGTGGACTGGTCTCGAATTTTAAAATGTCAGGCTATCGGTATCAGGTTTTATTATTATTTAAAAACCTATTCGCATTTTAAATTTGTTTGTATCCTTGTTGTCAAAGAGACGTGAAAGGATTTGGGTGGACCTCCATGCACGTGTTAGGTTCACCTGAACTTATAAAGGTAGCACAATTAACGATTACAATGATACAGCATCGTAATGTGATTTAGCTTTGAGGAAAATGCCCTCTGCCAACGGCTGCTTTAATAACACAAGTCGCCACCAAACATCTATCGTATGCCCATTTCATTGGGCCAGTCACCACACTTTGCAGGCGAGGCTCAAGAGTTGCATTATTGTGTCTCTATTATACTGATTCTGTGACAACGCTGACATTTCCAAGCAAAATCAGAGAGATGCAGGTTGGAGAAAAGGCCAAGCTTTCCTATCAAAGAAATCATCCAGTTTGAGAAATCTGTCAGGGAACCCCTTCAAAATATTGAGTGAACTGCCTTCTATTGACTGTATTTAAACATACATGTGTATTTTTTAAAATCACCCTGAAACCAGTCTTGAGAGAACCCTTCTTGTCACTCCTAGTTTCTCATCTACTCTGAGTTTAAACCATTTACTTAAATACTCTGCAGCAAAAAATAAAACCTCGTCTTAAATATCTGCAGCAAATAGTTAAACCTAATTTGTGTTTATCATAACAAAAATACAGTCAAACTCGTATGCATACAGTATATATATATATATACATTCAAGTATGTGGCTGTATATACCAGCCTAATGTAAATAATCATGTTACCCTGTTTAGAAATATCACCGTTATAACGTAAGATATTTCAAAAGTCATTGGTGGATTTTTAGATATTAACCACTGAACACTGCGCCAACAGTCTGTGAAGAAGTTGACCCTAAATAAGGTATTTCAATTTAAAGAGATCACATAAAAGTAACATCTGAGTTGCAAAATTGAGAGGTCATCTCAACTTGTCAAAATATATGAATGCTGCTTTTCTTAAAAAAAAATGCTCCTTTACTGCCCTTTAATTAGAAAAATAACATTATGCTGAAATTTTAAGACCAGAACAATTACATCTAAGATTTCATACAGGAGAGGGATAAGAGGGAAACTCAGAATTGTTTTTATTAAATTGACAATCTACAATCATAGTTGAGACTTAACTTGGTAAAAATAGGCGACAAACTGAATAGCTGCAACCTAGAGGAATTGGATTAGTTCCCTTAGGAATTTATACATCAAACGAAAACCCTATTGAGATTGCTAATAGACCTATTCAAAATACGCCTTATTATAAGGAACTTGGTTTTTTAACAAACGAGGTTCCTAAACTTATTCCCAAAGTAGTTTTTCAGAGGTAGAAAGAGCATCTGGGAGAAAGGTGTAGATAGTGACAATTTTAAAAAAATCCATCATAAATGACTAAGTACAAAAGATGAATTTTAGGAATGCTTGTTTAACTGTATAACCTGTTGTCTCTAAAGCACCGTTGTGTGGCATTATCAACTTTCCTATTCCAATGAGAACTTTGGACGTTTTAACGTAGAGTTCAACAAAATATCATCTCCATCTTTAATAAAAGCGCTCGGAGAGATAAGGTTTTATAAAATACTAAGTGATTTTTTTTGAAGGGAAAAAAAAGGCAATATGATTCCACGAACTGATGTCACTGTTTTGCAGTTCGTTTACCAGAACTAGCCAAACTTTCGCCTAATTTAAACAAGGCAGGTGAGTTAAATAAATTTGATTTATTCTCAATCTCCTCCCCAACACCCAAAAAGCAGCTCAGTATAATTTTTCCCCAATGTAAATAAATGATCCGATTGTGGAATTCAATTGTTTTTTTAAAAAATCATTTATAATTTATAAAGTGACAAAATAACATACTATTATCCCATGAATATTTGATTATGTACACTTTCAGCTTGAAACAATTTTGACTTTAAACCAGATTATCGACAAAGATGGTATAGCAAGTGAACATTTACTGTATTTTTAAAACATAATATACAAACTACTATTTAATATCCCGTAAAATGTAAATATGCATGAATAAACCTGTTACAGCTAATAAATAGCTCTGACAAAGTTGAAGCGATTACAAAATAATTATCTGGCTTGTAAAAAAACAAAAACAAAAAATAATTTAAAAAATAAATGGGTGTTTCAGTACTCTTCTGTTTAAATGGTACCAGATATATCCCAGTCAAATTAATGTCACTGATATGTTCGAATACAACTGACACCCAGAAAATCCGATGTGAATAGAGCAAATCTGTTCCTATAGCTTTGTGATGTAACAGTTTTTGAACATTAGAAAATTTGCTCTGGAATAAAACACACTGCTTAGTTAATTGCAAAGGCAGGGAAAGTCAAGATTTGAGAACCTGAAATACCCGTGGGAGGTAATTTGAAGTGCAGGCTTCAATTAATGTAGAATATCTAATTTGACTGTAGATTTCCTTTTTTACTTTGGTTTTAAAGTGATAGAAAAACAGATTTTTTAAAATGGTTAAAATTGCTTCTTTTTTTAAATTTACAAAAGAGAGATGACAAAATTCCTAAACTGGTAACAGAGCATTAAACTTTCCTGGTCCAATTTGTATCTAATAAAGCTGAAATCTATCTTCCTTTGTTTTCGAGTCGTATAGTATAGTGGAAGTGTGTATTTGAAGGCTCCTTGATTACGTTTTGATTCTCTCTCTCTCCCCCCCCCCTTTTTTTTTAGCACCAGTTTCAAAGTGGGTAGGTTTGAAATTCAGGACAAGTGTGACCCCTACCTGTGAATGTGGGGAAACATTCCAATCCGACCCTCAACCTCCGTTTATATATGGTAATCTCCGGACAGACAGATTTACAAATCCTATCAATGCTTGCAATATGCAGCGGCGATGAAGCACTAATTTAATCAAATTAACCAAATATATCAATGCAAAATTCGGGGGAGAGGGAATGAATTGAGGGAGGGGGAATCTTTCCCCAGTGTATATCTTAATGTGTATTCCCCGGCTCTCTTCTTAATAACTCTGCAGCACCTTTGAAATAGTAATAAGGGCTAAATCTGGCATAAAATCGAACTCATTAGCAAAGTTCACCAGCTGATTACTTTGCATAAAATACGACACTGATTGGAAGTAATTAGGTTAAAAGCTGGTACTGTACTTCGATTTGGTGTTTCTATTCTGTATTTTTATATATATCCTTATTTAATCTCTTACTCATAAATACATCTCGTCTTCATTTTATCTCCTATATCATCCTTTCATTCTTTGACTATTTGCCCCCTCAAATTAGCCTAAATTACCACAACAAGTAGGCGCTCTTGTTAAAGATTCCCACATTTAGACATCTCTCACTTTGAAAATCAATTTCAGGTATTTAATGTTCTAAATTAAAACCCACATTTAAACAAACCAGCATTTAAAAAGTTATTTTTGTCACCAGTTATGTATGTATTTTCTCGGTGCAAAAACAAGTGTGTTTGATTCGGTTAAAATCTTCTTTTAATTAAAATATTTGCATTTAACAATGGCGACTGCAGTTTTTTTTTTAATTTAGTTAGTATAACCTATTTCCTTTATTAATTTATTATACTTTAGCTCACACCCAAGGGGGAAAAATCAATAGGCGGCAAAAAAGTTAAAATAAACTTGTGTGTATATATAATATATATATATATATTTTAAAACTATGAAACAATTCGGGAAAAGACACAAATGTATATATTTATATTACGAAAAAAACAACATTAATGCCTGTACAGGTGTCTTGATTTCATAAGTTACTTCAAAGATACTGTATTATCAATTTAAATACAAAAAGCTACATTAAATATACAGAATAAGATTTAATACAAATCTTTCTCCTTTTGTGTGTAATTTTTGTTTTGTTTTCAGTTGATTAAGACATTTCTGAGTTCTTTTATACTCAGCCATTTCCTATGAACTATAAACTTTTGACTAGGAGTGTGTCTTTGATTTGTTTGTTTGTTTTGTTTTGTTTTTCTCTTGGTAGTGGAAAAATAACTGCCAAAGCATTAAATAAATTAAAAAAACCAAAGTCCCAAGGGGAGTTATCGGAGAAGAAGCCAATATTAAATGTTGGACATACCTTTCTTCAGTTCGTAAGGTGAGTCTTTGCAAAGATCTACTTGGGATTGGCTTCTGATCATTTTAGTTTCTTTAGCCAAGGTTTCTGCTCTGTTTAAAATAGTCTGGTTTAATCCATTGAAATGGCTGCTGGGGGCTCCGGCGGCCGGGTTGGTGCCAGCGTGGCTGTGAAGGTGCCCAAAGGTGCTATAGTTCGTGTAGCCCGGATAAAACGGAGACGCGTAGTAAAGGGGCCGGGAGAGGACGGCGCTGTTAGGAAAAGGGCACTGGGAGGAGGGAGACCGCGACGGGGAATGCGAGGTGCTGCTCCCGGCCAAGGGAGGGCCCTGGTTCGGCCCCGCTCCCGGAGACACCTCGCTGCTGCTCTCTCTCGATTTGTCCGCGGAGGTGGCGATCTCGGCCAGGGACCAGAGTTTGGGTTTGGCGAGGGCCGCCTGTTGCGGCGAGTGGATCACCGACGTGCTGTTGCTGGAGGGGGCGATGGGGTGCAGGTCTCCCGGGTGGGGGGCGGCGGCGGCGGCGGCTGCCGAAGGGGGCCGGTACTGGTGCTGGTGCTGGAGCTCCTCGCCGCCCGCCGCCTGCTGCAGGATCCGGCTGGCCGGGCACTGCACCAAGGCCGCAGGGCCGGCCGCTTTGGGGGGGCCCGGCCTCCCCTCCAGCCTCTCCTCCGGAGGCTCTTTACAATCCGAGTCACTCAGGCCGCCCTCGGCCTCCTGGCCCGCCGGGGAGTGGGGCTCCTGCAGCCGCTCGCAGCCCGGGGCTGCCTTCTGCTCTTCTCCTCCTCCTGTGTGCAAAGGGGGAAGAGGAGGGCGACAGAAAGTTTGCGAGGGCTCCTGATCCCGAGCCCAAGTTCCCCCCACAAACACACACACACACACGGAGCAGAGGGCGCAAGGAGGGAGTGAAAGGGGCATCCCCGGGTTTGCCATGTCCCTCTGCGCGCACACAACTCCCCGCAGCTGGCAGGTGACATTCCGCCCTGGCCTCCGAGCTGCGGCTCAGTGGGGCTGGCGGGGGGAAGAGGCCACAAGGCCATGCCCGGCAGAAACACCCGCTGCCCCGCAGCGATCTCCCCTCGCTCCATCGAGGCAGCTGGCCGCAGAGACCGCCACGCCAGAACAATCCCCCCAGGCGCCAGCCCCGCTGGGGTCCTGCCCTGGGATGTGCTCGCCCTCTCCCCAATCCCCCCTACCTGTCTCGGGAGCCTCCGGGTCACCCTTTTCTTCCAGCTTCTGGGGCTCGTCCTCGTCGTTTTTCTCGAGGTCGATATTCTCCTCTTCTTCCTCGTCCTCGCTACGGTTCCTGGGGGTCCAGGTCATTTTATTCTCCTTTTTGAGCCGCCGCCGGGCGTTGGCGAACCAGGTGGAGACCTGGGTGAGGGTCATTTTGGTGATGATGGCCAGCATGATCTTCTCGCCCTTGGTGGGGTAGGGGTTCTTGCGGTGCTCGTTCAGCCAGGCCTTCAGGGTGGCGGTGGCATCCCGGGTGGCATTTTTTCGGTAGGCTGGATCTCCATAGGGGTAGGAGCCCAGGGGCGCCGCGTAGGGATGGTACCCCAGGGAACCTGCCATACCTGGTGTGTGGTCGTAGGGTGAGCCCTGGAGAGGGGGTGGGGGAAAGTGGGCAAAGAGCAGACAGTGAAATCGCTAGTAAGGGAGCAGCGCAACTGTCACAACACAACCAACAGTGACACAAGGGCAACAAAATGGGGAAAGAGCCCAAACAATTACTCGCTCCCCCAATTAAAGTTTGGAGAACAGGAAAATCCCAGAGGCTGTTCCTAGATTGAGGCAGTCACGCCTGGGCTTCCCCCACTGAGCTGTTTCAAACAGAAAGGAAAAATGGCCTAGAACTTTTTTGGTGCATGTGTCTCTGTATGCAACAAACACACAAAGGCTTCGGAGCACATCTGTTCTATCAAATCTGTACACGTTAGCCCAAAGGGCAGAACTGCGAACGGAAGAGACTGTTCTTCATTCATCTCCCCCCCCCCCCCCAGCAAATAGCCAAGTTTCTGACTTGTGAAGAAACGCTAACCTGACAATCCATTTCTGCCCTGACATATTATTGTGCTAAGCAGCAACCAATTGCTTTCCCCACTGTCTAATTGAACATAACCTTTCACACAACCACCGCACCAGGACGGGTTTTTTTCCGCCATGGAGGCACTCGCTTGAAAAGAGAAAGCAGGAAAACTCTGCTAAACTCTGCCGAAACCCACGCTGGGTGAGGGGAGATGGGCGACTGTTATTTTTCTAAAGGGCTGCAGGGTTTTTCGCTGCAGCCAGAGACTTGTTCTTGGCGAGAAAGAAAAAAAAACAAAACCAGACTAACTTGTTTTTCTAAATAAATAAATAAATACCCCAGATGGGCCCCCAAATAAACAAAATTTCTTCTACGCTGAAAATATATTAAACCGGGGGGGAGGAGGGAAGCACATGGCCACACTGTACCATTTTTTTTTTGGTTATTATTAATGCTTCCAAATCGGATTGCGGAGATGGGATTACGGCTTTGCAGTATTTGGGAAGCCTAATGAAGGTTGTGCAGAAGAAACTTACATAGGTTGATCAGCCTGATTCCGAGGCTGGCTCTTGGATTCATTTTATTTTTTTACAATTAAAAAAAAAAATGAGGAGCGGTATCACACAGATCATTTTTTTTTTTAAAAAAGACATTAGTCAAAGGTTTCCTTTGAATTGGCTGTTTGGTGTGTGCTTCCCCTTGCAAAGCCCTTAATTGAAAACACAATCGTTGCATTAATTATTCCTCCACTACTTCTTTGCTAGAACCCGGCACCCCACCCTCCACAGAGACACTTTTGATCTAGCAACAGTGTATACAAATACAAACAAAAAGTTGCATTTCCCCTGGCCTCTGCAGCCGGCAGCGCTCCCAAGTCGAACCCACCCCACCCCTGCTCCAGCGAGGGCTGGCGAGCCGGGCTGCCGGCCGATCATTGTTGCTCTTACCACGTATGAAGTGAAGGCGGCGGCGGCGGCGGCTGCCGGGTCGGTGCCGTACTGGAGGTGGGAGTTGTAACCGGGAGAAGGGGCAGTAAACGCGGTAGATCCGGCATAAGGCGAAAAAGCGGAGCCCGAAGAAGATCGCCCAAGTTCATCGGTCCTGGGTCCCGAAATCACGCTGGTACTGTACGCCGGACACGAGTAGAGCGCCAAGGAAGCGGAGGGCTGGTACAAGTAACCCTGAGGATACGACATGGCCAAACACATACATATACCCGGGCAGCAATAGAGCCGGGAGCTGCCGCTCGCTTGGATTTTTCTAGGTGACTTGTTTGGATGTCAAGCCCTCTTGCCAGGTGGGGCAGCTGGCGGATTAGCAGCAGCGGCCCCGCACCTTGCTTCTGGGTCTCGGCTGCGGCAGCTGAGCCGCCCTTGCTGCTGCTGCTCGCTCGCGAGCAGGGCTGCCTTTTTTTTTTTTTTTTTTGTGCCTTTGGACCGAGAGGCTTTTTTCGAGATCTGCTTTGGGCTTTGCGAAAGGTCCTGCCAAGATGCTAAGTTGGAAATTGAGGATTCTGACGCCTTCTACGCGGCGCGGGGGAAGCTCCTCCTTCCCGGAGTGTTGTCAGTGGAAGAAATGGCAGGATCCTGCGGGGCTTGCCACAACCAAGCCCAACCAGCAGGAGAGCCTCTCTCTCTCGCTCGCTCGCTCGCTCTTCCCCAGCTCTTAGGCTCAAGTGCGCCGGCCCCTGGCTGGCAATCACATCCAAGCCATTTAAGATCAGCTCCAACTTTCTTCATTTGCTAAATACTGTGTGGAGCCATCACATTTTCCTCTTGATTTATGGCCGGGCTGCACTAGAATGCAAGCCAATCCGTTTATGAAAAAATATATATTTAATAAGATTTATTATCCATTCTTCCCCCCCCCACGCTCTGCCCCCATTCCCTTCCTCCCTCCCTCCCCTCCCCCCCCCGACCAGTATATAATTTGATGCGATCCCTTAAAAGGGTGAGGGAAGGTGGGGGTGTGAAATATACTTTCAATTAAAAAAAAAAAAAGAAATCTATTTTCAACAGGAAAATTATATTTAGCGGCTAGGATGGGAGATTTTATATATATATGGCAACACATTATTTCTAGTTTCTCCCACTCCTGGCTGGTGTTTGTGTGTGTGTGTGTAGACACACAATATGTAATATAATCTGATGTATATTTGTCTTCCCCCACAGTTTAAAAACGCTTTCAGACAAGGAGGCTGTTTGCTCATTTCACCTCTGTCAGAGATCGCGCCCCAGAGAAGGTACCTGTTGCAATTTTAAGGGAAATGTGAAATGCTGTCCAGATTTGCAGCCCGAAATGTTGCCCTCGCCTCCCTCCATAGATAATAAGGGATCAGGGGATATTTCCAAATAAGATGTTTCTGGATGGGGGTTGGCGTTTTTTGATGAATCATTAAGCTGTGACTTCTCATTGTAGGAAAATGTAAGCATTTATTTTCTCAGCACCAGTCCCGGGAGGAGGGGAAGAAGGACAGGGGAGGTAAGAGGAGTGGGGGATGAGAGAGGGGTGGCTAGAAAGCCTTCAAAATGAGGGTTTACCAGCGGATCTAGAAGAATGAACCAGGTATTTTCTCTCTCTCTCTGAAACTCATAAAAGGGTAGAAGCGAAAGCAGATTAAAACCATATGAACTGGGAGAAATCCCTGCCGATCAGAGGATGTAATCTCTTTTGATTCCACCAGATATATTTCCCAACAGGAACATATCCCGAATTATTCTCTTCTCTCTCCCCCTCCTCCCCCCCAGCTAAGGCAAGCCGCTTTCCCTGCAATTTGTGGGCTCTGCCCTTCACCCATTCCTCCCAACAACTCCAGCTAAATACACACACAGACACGTACGGGGAGGGAGGGGGGATGTCAAGTGCTGCTCTTACCTGGATCGCTTTCAAAGCGCCTGGTGCCTTTCCAAAATAGGCTGCATTTCAATTATTTACTGGTACATTCTCGTGTTCTAATTACCCTCGGACCTGTTCCGAGGGTGTCGGCTGGAGAATTTTTTGCTTAAAATTAGTCGGCTCCTGGAAGATCCAAAGCGGCTGCGATTGGAGTACGAAATCTCGATTGCCCTTCAATTTAGTAGATGAACAGCAAAAGTTGCTGCCAGCAATAGCCAGATCTCAGTAAACAAACGGCAGACAAAATGCTGAAGTTTAGCAAACGCGTAAAGTTTAATTCACGCCATGTGCTGAGCAGAGAGAAGTCGTGGATAAGGAAAGTGGAGGTTCGCGCGACAGATTTTTACTTCGAAAACCCTGGCTGCTTTAGGGTTGGAAAAAGGAGCAAGGACGGGTGTGTTGGTTTTGCCCATATGTCAACCAAATGTGTTTTCTTTTCTTTCCTTTTGTGTGTGTATGTGTGTGTGCGCGTTAAAGGAAGAGATAGCGAAGGATCCTCTTTATTTATTTGGAAATCTGTTTAGGGTGGGTGGGACAGCGGGACATTTGGCTATGTACCCACTTGTGTTATAGGGGGAGCTGGTAGCGACCCCTATGTTGAGGTTATCTAGAGCTCTCGATGAGAACCCTCTTGTCAATGTCTTAGACCATAGGTATGCTTACATGCGGTGCGCGTTTAGAAGTGATAGTGCGCGCCCCCAAAACAAGCACCCGTTCTTCCAGCAGCAGAGATGTCAGATTGCTTCATTCTGTGCCATACAATGCCTCCCTCCCCCATTTCAAACTAAGTGGGATTGACAGAATGTGTCACCAGCAAAAGGTTTCAAGCCCCAGCAGATCCCGCTGAAGTCGTAGAGGGAACACGTCTTTCCCCCAGTTTGTTTTCTTGTGGTGATTAACTCTCTCTGCCGAAGAGAGGGAGACGGGGTGGAGGGTTTGACAATCTCTTCCTTCCAGCAAGTCTGGCAAAGGATTCAGATCTCCAGGGGTTTTTCTCATTGATTACCTCTCTCTGATCGCTGCTGCTGCTAATGCTCTTTATGAGTTATAAGAAAGTGATTTCTTCACCGAGAAGGAGCCTTTAACACGTGTGGCGTTTTGAAAACTGCTCAAATAAAAACGTGATTAACCAAGAGTATTTTCCAGAGAAGGGAACAATGAAATGAACATATGTGACTGCAACATTTTAGGGTAGGGACTTGCTTTCAGCACAGGGAACATCCGCGTGAACAGGTTATTAGGAGATTAAAAATATTTTTTTGCTATGGTTGCATTATAGTTTCACTGCAGCTCTGAAAATCCTAGTAGTTCTCCTACGCCGTGCCTCCCTCAAACAACACCGGACCATCAACTTTTGTGTGCGTGTGCTCTGACAATGGCACATATACAGAAATTCACACCATTGCCACAAGAAAAAGAAATTCCCCTCCGCTTGCGTTTCATCTCCCGTCCTCGCTCTGTGCATTCCTACCGCTAAATACCTCTCTGTAAAGAGCAATATTTTCTGTTTAAATGAATGCCTTTGAAAAGCTCTGGGTCAAAGGCTGCAAACGCGATCTGGCGTGCAAGTTTCAAGTGATTTGCAGAAGCGCTGAAAATGTAATCACCCCCTTTTTACACCCGACAGTCCTACACGAACAACGACTGGGGAAGCAATTACTGCCGCTGGCACGAACATAGACGAAAGGACAGTGAGAGGGAGAGAAAGGAAAGAGGATAAAGAAGGAGTAAAAAGAAGGCATAAGAAGAGAACGTGAAAATAAAGAAGAAAAAAGAGGAGAGAGAAAAACGAGGACAGAGGAAAAGTAGAAAGGGGAAGAGAAAAGGACAGGAGAAAATCTGACAGGAGAAAGCAGGGTTCTTCTCTGTACCTGCGCTTGGTCCAGCGGCACCACGAGGGAGGACTACATTTCCCAAGCACCCCCGTTCCTAGAAGTCGGGCCCTTCCCCAGTCTCAATTGCTGATTGGTTACTGGCTTCGGTTTCCTCTTTTCCATCGCCCTCTCATTGGTCCGCCAGGCTGTCACTCTGATTGGAAAGCGGAGCGCGGCGTGGTTGCCGGGGAGTCCGGAAGCGGGGCGGGCAGGAGGGGGCATGCAGTCGCTAAGGGCCAATAGGGACCTGCCCGGCCGCCCGTTTCCGCTGCGGGGCCGCGGCGTCGGCGCTGCCAGCCACCCTGGCCGAGAGGTGAGGAGCCGGGGTTCCTCCCCCGGAGCTGGGCGCCTTTTGGGGCGGGGCTCGTTCGGCTGCGCCCGCCGGCTCCCGGGCTGTGGGGTCCAGCTGGGGCGGGGCGGGCGGTGGCCCGGCCCCGGGGCATCCCCGCGGGCAGCGGCCCCTTGGCTGTCACCCCTGCATGGGCTGGGGGCGCCCCCGGGGAGAGGGCATTGCCCCGGCAGGGGAATGGAGGGAGCTGCCTGTGGCTTCCCTGGGGGGGCCCTCCCGGTGTGACCGCCCCAGGAGCCTGGACACCGGTTGTCCCTTCGGGGCAGCAGCCCCAGTGCCTTGCCCTGGGGCGCTGGCCATTGTTAGAGCTAATCCGGGCTCCGGAGGCTCTTTTCCGTCCCCGCGGTGAAGGGTGGGCAAGTGGATCTTGTACTTAGGCTGGTAAAATTGCACGAGAATTTTGCAGAACTGATGTAGTGGGTTTTTCAAATCCCATCTCCAATGGTACTGGGGCAGGAAAGGGATCAGCAGCCATCCCCTTGGGATTGGCAGCCAGTCCTGGGCTAAACATAGCTTCTGAGGGGGGGAAAGCCCCGTTTCCCCTTGTGGTTCTTTTTATTATTAACTAATAACTTAAACCCCCATCTATTAAAGCTTCCAAATTTTTATGCGGACAATCAAAGTACGTCTGTGTTTTGAAGGATTTAAGTCACATCTGTTCTCCTTTTTTGTGCTTGTGCAAAATGTTCTAGTATTTAGGAGCAAATAAACGAGGCACCTATTTGCATTATATTTTTGTAATAATTCATGCAATTATAAAAAATGACTTATTGAAATCCTGGTTAGATTAAATGCATCTCTTGGAATCTCTCAGTCATAATGCTGAGAAGACTGATATGTCTTCTATTCTATATATATGATTAGTATATAATGGGGCTTTAGCTTGTTTTTTATTTCTTCTTTTTTTGTCTTGGTCCTTTTTTTTTAAATTAAGCTGAGCTGTGCATGGTTTCCTTTTTAAACATTCATGTGGGTTTTGCCTGTGGTAACCATGAAGGTTTGTTAAAACCAGGTTCATACACATTCTTACATACTCAATCCACACAGGTGTGCACTTTGATCAGTTTTCAGCTGCACAATGTCACTGGTATTTGTCACTGGGTTAATTTTAGCTATTGCTCTAAAGTGCTCTGTTTTTCCCCCCTCTGGAAAGAGCTTCTGTCATAATCCTCTGACAATACCCCTTGTTCAGTGAGTAAGATATCATCTGGTAAAGTTTTATATCTTTAACAATCAGTTTATATGTCAGTAGAATGAGTAACCGTTCTTCCTTGCCAATTTATTTGTAGAGAGAAGCAGAAGTTTTAGCTGCCTTCTTTCCTGTGTATCTGACTTTTTTGAGGAGGAGGTAAGGTTAATGTCATGTAAAATTATCCTCTTAATTTTTGACATTTTGTTAAAGTAACATTCTCCCCCGCCCCCAAATTGTACTGAGTTTATGCCCAATTTCATGTACTGCAATACCAGGGTTGATTAATGAAATGTAGCAAGAGAGGGCTTATGCCATCATGAACGTGTCTATCAAACAGACATCCTCACTACATTATTCCACTATTATATTCCTGCAGTTTTAAAAGAACTGGAGATAATTCTTCAAGATATTGGAACATTTAGTTTATGGTTCTATTGCTGTGGTTGTCACCTTCACTTATTGTCAAATTTGAGACTCATTTCTTAATGATGTCTCTATTTTCTGCTTTATTTGCACATTGATAGCTCTACTGAATTACTAGTCACTTTCCTATGATAGAAGTATATTCAAATGGGAAAGCCTAAGATTAATCTGCTTTACAGGACTGTTCAGCTCTTTGATTCAAGGGAAATACGAAGTTGATTCTAAGGCTATTCTTGTTGCTTTAACAGTTATATTAACAAACATTGGATTAACTTTTCCCTTAACAGCCGTGATGGTGCATATGCTTCCTCTTTATGCATTTATTGTAATTAGTAGCTTTTGAATTTATGGGTCTGTTATCTTGATGCTTTTTATTTTACGTCAGCAAAGCTGTTTTAATGCAATTTTACTTCTTTAAAATCTTGTAGCTTGTACCTTATACCTTTCTGAGAAACTAGGCTGTCAACAGTACCTTCTGTTGTATTAGCATTTAAATCTTAGTTAATGATGGGTAGGATTTACGGGCTTAGTCTGCACCCTTCATTTTATTTAAATTGAGAATTTAAAACTACCTGTATAGATAATCAAAACTGTTTTTTGTGTGTGTGTGTGTGTGTGTGACATGTAGTCTGAGGGACTGAGGCTGCAAACCTTTATAAACGATTCTTGCTGTCTTTCGTAGTCCCCTTGACTCCAATGGGATTATTGGCATGAGTGAGGGTTTGGAAGATCAGACCTGAAATGACTGCATAGAATTTTATGACACAAATGTAGCAACAGTTGAATCTACATATTAGTTTCTATACCATGGTTTCATTTGGCTAACTTCATTTAAAATGTGCAACCATATGGTGCACTGCATAAAGTAGTAAATAAAACAAAGTTTATGAATGTGTAATGAGGACTTGCTGTGGTTTTTCTAGAGTGGGGGAAAAACATTTTGAAATGAGCAATAAACCGCATACTTCAGAACCATAGCGCTAATAGTTTATAAATACAAATGATGTACTCCGGTGACTTTTTTTAGTATATGAAGGTAAAAAGTGGGAATCTTGGATGATATGTCTTAACTGACTTACTCTAATAGTTACTTTCAGTCTGAACTTTAAAATCCAACACTCCTATTTCTATTACAGTCTTTAAAGATTTAATCATTCTTGAGTGTGTGCTTGTGTGTGAAGAGAGAGTGAGCTAAAACTAGCGCGAGGAAAGGCAACAGATTGGTTCTGTCATATGATTTTGTTGGTTTTTTTGAGTGTACTTAAAAGATTATGATTGATAAAGCTGTCTTGCCAAAGAATGCCGACACAGGTGTTCATCATTATCTTAATTAAGATCCCGAGAAAATGTCATCTTTTGGCATGAATTATGAAAGGAGATGTAATTTAGATTTTTTTTTTTTTTTTTTTTTTGCAGGGGTGGAGGAAGAGGAAAAGTCCAATGTTTATAAAATGTTTTATGATATTCCTATACCAGATTATTTGACTTTAGGTGTTCATTGACTAACTACAGAATAAAATCTTGATGTACAAATTGCTACTGGGAGGCTATAACTATAGAACATCAAAGGGAGAGAAGGCTTTTTTACAAGCATATTTGTTTATCGAATCTAAACTTCAAAATTTAACAAGCAAGAAAATACTAGGAAATTTATTTCTCTGGGTGAGAGAGGATATGGGAGGAAAAATGGCTTAGCATGTTTAAAAATATTTTAAAAAGTATTGGGACTTCCAGATAATATCCCTCCCTTTAATAAAAAAAAAAAAAAAAAAAAAAAAAGGGTTTGCTGTGATTTTAAAATGTTTATTTAAAAAAATAGGCATGATGGGGGGGGGGGCACAGGGTCAGAGAAAAACCTATCATTCTAACTTTCAAAATTCCATGGAAATGTAATTGATTAGTGCAGAAAAGTGGGAAATTATGTTCTGCTACTTTAAATCAATATGTTATTAGCTGAGCGATAACCAAAATAATGCACCAAAAACACTGGCAGAAGTTGCAGCAGAAAAAGTAAAGAGTGCTTACTCACAAGTAGTTTTTCCTCATGTGAGTAGCTCTGTTGACTTCCAAAGGATAACTTACATGAGTAAGAATCTGTACTTAAGGCTGAAACTATCTGTGCTAAATGGTTTGTTATACATAAGGGTTCTGTAGGATGTGTCCCTAACTCCTTCAATATTATTCTTCCTGAATTGACTTGGTCTGAAAATCCACTTGTTAACTCACTCTGTTGCTCATAATCATGGAGATTTAAGAGTCAATTCATAGATACATAAATGGAAGCCCTGACCAGTTTCTGCCTGTCTCATGCCTAACCTTCAGGTATTATGTAGTTCAGAATGTCTTTTTTTTTTTTGTTCACATCAGCAATATTTTATACATCAACTTTTTGTCTCAGAAAAAAAATGGTGATATAAATTTTAGTAACCTTTGATTAACTCCTCCTATAAGCTCTAATTTTACAGTGTACAGGACAAAACCATATATTTATTTTAAATGCTTTGAGCATATTCTTCTTTATTCGGGGGCTAAAATTGCATTTATATAACTAGAAATATCTTGATATTGTGGGTGAACTTGGAACTTTATTTGTTTTCTTGTATATTCACATAGCACCATTTATGTTAATTATCTGCTTAAATTTGTTGGCTTGATTTAGACAAAATTAATATGTCTTGAGAGATTATTTTCCTTTCCATATATGCATTTAACTCCTGCTGAGTTCAGTGCATGTATGGAGAGAACTTCCCCTAATGGTAAGGTTAAACATGAGTGAAAGTTTTTGACTTTCTCAGTAAATAGGTTTCTGCATTTAGACTGAGCCCCTAATCTAATTTCAGTTCAGTTCGCATTTTGAAAGAGGATGTGCAATGCTGTTTGCTAGTGTGTGTACCAAAATTCAAAGGACAGCTTAGCACCTGTGACTCCTATTGACTCTAATGACTTCTAGCTGGAGTCACAGGTACTCAGTATCTTTCAGGATTGAGCCAAATTTTCTCTGCAACTATACCCATACGGCTCAACTGGCATCACTGAGGGCTCATGGGTGTAATTGAGGGCAGAATCTGGTCCTGAGTGTGTGTGTGTGTGTGTGCGTAATAGTCTGATTTAAAGAATTTGATTTTAATAACAATGTAATGTTCAAAAAGTGGTTGTATTTTACTTTCATCGTGATTTTCTTTCAAATTTATCTACCTTATTTTATTGAAATGTAATAGTGAGTACCTGTTTGTGTGGAAGGTCAACTACTGTATATCTCTTGCCTAGAAACTTCAGGGAGACATTATTAGTTTCAAACACGAAGAACTCTTTTTAACAGCTGTTAATTCCTTATTTTTTAACACTGACTTATTTCTAGTTTATAATCTGTAATGTGACTAGTGCAAACATAGCCAATAGACAGTCATCAATTCTTGCAGTTGTTTCCTGCACGCTAACTGTAATGTGTGTGTTCATCTGATATCTTCATTTGTTGCTATAATAATACTTGTCTTACAAAGAAAAGCTAGCTAAGTGAGTCATATCAAGCTGACTATAACAGATCCAGGTATGAATTTCTCTTTTCTGCATAAAAAAATTTCAGCCTATTATTGCCCCCTTTTTCTTCCTTTCTCCCCCCCCCCCCCCCCCCCCCCCCCCAGCAGTTAATTTTCTTCCTGGGTTTCTCTTTCTCATAAGTGCAATATTCAGCTTCTCCCATTGATAAGCATGTAATTTCTACAGTGTTCTTAGGCATTCCTGTCACAGATAGTGAATCCTGAGATTACTTCTGAAGTATTCTCTCTTGGCATCTACAAAACTCATCTCTGTACTTAATGACGTATTCTTTATAGACTAACGCATAGTGTAGTATTTGGGTATTCTGTTTTCAGTTACACTGTGTTAGTTTCCCGAGATCTTCTTTCATATCCTATAACAAAGTAGCAAGATCCAGATTGCCGTGTGCTGGGATATAACAGCTACAGAAATGGCAGCTACTGTAAAGCCAAGAACTAACATTTTAGCTAGCACAATAAATAAAATGAGTTGTGACTCTTGCCGTATTGGAGTTGCACTAAATAATGCTACAGTGCTGTTTATGACTGGTTTCAATGGATAATATGCAGCTATAAAACCTGTGTGAAGTTTTTATTAAGAATACTCTGTCATTCTTTAAAAAAAAAAAAAAAAGGGTGCCTAGCACTTCTTTATAATAATAACTGTGCAGGAATGACTTCATTTATGCCGACTTCCTGTTTGTTACAGGGAAGAACCTTCTTTATCTCTCTGAGATGCTGTTTACTTTAGATAACTTGTGAGTCTCTTTGGAAGGAGACAGCTCAGTCAGTTTGAGATTTTGAAACTTTGTTTTTCTTATCTGCTTTTCAATGGATAGCTCAACAACTAGCTCAATTTAAATTATTTAAAGCAAGAAGTTCAGACACTTTATGGTATAGCTTGTTCCGATAGCTCTTTCATTAAACCTTAACCACCAGTAGACCAGGTATTCAATAATATGGGATTGCAAAACTATCTAGGAGTTTCTGAATTGACTGTTTTGGGAGACATCTGTGAGAGGCTGTCGGGTAGCTAACTGGGGACTGTGCATTCTATTTCTGGTTCCGCCATTGACACATCACGTGACTTTGAACTGGTCCTTTAATCTCTTTACCTCAGTTTTATCCATAAAGAATGTTGTGAAGTTCTTTACAATCTTCAAATCCGAGTTGCTACCATACAGAAATGCATATTATTTGTTAGACCACCTCTTTTTACTGAGCAAATGCTATATTTTTGGCTAATACTGATGCAGGAATCAAGCAAGGTGTAATTCCAAGACTCAAAGTATATGAATACAAGTTTAACACCAAAATAGGTGATGCGATTTAGCCACAACCCCCGTATGCACCACATGTATATTGTGCTGTTTAACAGAGGATGCTCAGTCCTATATATGTACTAATGAAATGTAGTGGTATCTTACACAGTGCATCTTTGGATGTGAAAGCAAACCAAATAAATGGAAAATAGGTGAAGAGACTGAAATATGCATTGTTTGCATACATGTGTTGTATTACCAAGGGAAATAACGTTATTTTAATTGGCAACAAGATTACCCTTTCCCCTCCCACTCCCTCCAAAAAATCTGTTCTCCAGCTCGGTAGAGGGCAGACAGGAGTAAAAGCAGCAAGATCCCCAACAAGAAAGTTGACTCCAGCAGTCCATCCTACCAAGGGTGTTCTGAATATAGGAAGAGGCCCCACACAAAGCCAGAATGCGTGCTTGCCTTGCGGCTGTCTTTAATCCTATTAAATCTTATTAAAAAATAATGGTAAGTGTTTTGTTTTGTGCACATAATATTCACATAAATAAGATTTGTCCATCACACTGGTACTTTTAGCTATTTTTTGCTATTGGTGCTGGGTTACCTCTCACTTTCATATAATACAAAGTAAATTAATATCTTCTGATGCAGAAAGTTTGAGTTGATTGGGGTTTGCATTAATAGTGATGTGTAGAGGAGGTAACTTTTATTTTTGGTAAGTTAACAACTTCATTTTTCTTTTTCAGACAAGCAAAGTGAGACTGATCTGAGGAAGACTGAAGAATGGCGAAACTGTTTTGGAGGGAGCTAGTTAAGCCATATATGTTCCAGAGATGTTTTCTTCTTCACTCCCATACCTGAGAGATTTCATAAGATTCAGTAGGTAGGGTACTGCTAACATGACCATTTTTTTTAGACCTCTTTTACTACTTAACTGTGATAGTAGTGTACTATCAGTAATATTCCCGGAGCAGCTGAGGTTGCATTTAAAATGTGTATTTGTACTAATATCCATGATGTCTGAAAATCAGCATTACAAGTAAACTAAATAGATGAAGAATTTGGGTGGTGAAGGAAAAATTAATCTGTAAATAAAACTGCTGTTTTCTCTTCTAGATCTTCCATCAGTGATATTTCCTCCCTGTGCCAAGGGGGCATACGAAGAAGAAAATGATCACAGGATTCAAAAGATGGAGGTAATTCTTCTTCCCTATCAAATGACTTCATTTTTCCTTTCTCTGTCCCCACGCAATCCCAAGCCTTTGTAATATCTTAAGATCTTGTCCTGCAGAGAACAGTATCTGTGGTGCTGGCCCATGGAAGCCCTA